ACAGAAATGCCCTCAACAAGCTTTTAACTTACGACAGTGAGAATCGAGTATTCTGTCTGCCCAAGGATCCATGTTTGCAGAGAAGACAGTAGCAGAAAGCGTGGAGATGCACCACTGACTACTGTTATCTCAGTCGGGAAGTTCGACACCTCAGGCTGCTGCAATAATCCGACAGATGGCACCACCAACAAAGCATTAACGTTTGTGGGAAGTTGCGTGTTGTGAAATAACGATATACGTGCTTTTTGTTTGACTATGAATATAATTGCGAAAGCTGGTACTATACCGCATTGTTGTTCATAGTGCAGTGTTTGTTTAATGCCTTCTTTCTTCACACTTTCCTACCTCTTTAACTCAAATCCGTAGAGTAAATCATCAATTAAATGAAGCGGTTTTGGGGATCAAATATTAAAGAAAATAGACAGTATTTATTGCAGAATTCCAAGTAGTAGCGTTTGCTTTGTTCATATATTCAAATTAGTTCTCGCTTTTGCAGCAGCCCAAAATGATTTGGTATGACTTTTATAGTTGACATTCAGGATGATATAACCAAATGTTGGTCATTAATATATGTAAGCATTCATACGTATGTAAATACTGTAATAGGGAACGCACAGTGCTATCGAGTTCAGGCTTTGAGTGTCAATCGACATCAGTGAGTAGTCAGTGTTGCTGTTATGCTCAAGGACGACGCCTCATCAACTACAACTAGCCCCTCTATGCGTTGATTGGAAATGCGCAAAATAAACACGCTCACGCATACCACACCGCACCCACACACACACATACACACACACACCATACACATACAATACTTATGCATACACACATGCGCACACACACACACACACACACACACACACACAAGCACAGCACACAACACACACACACACACACGCACACACACACAACACACACACAACCCACACACAACACACACACACACACAACACCACACTACACAAGCACACACTAACACACCTACATCACACACATCTCACACAAACACACACCATGACACACACACACACACACTACACACACACATCACACACACATTCCACACACACACACACTACACACACACACACAAACACACACACACTTAACCTACACACCTACACACACATTCACACTACACACACATCACACAACACACACACACACACACACCACACACACACACCACACACACACACACACACACACACATTACACACAACATCACACACACACACCTAACAACACACACACGTCACACACACACACAACACACCAACACACCTACACACACACACACACTACCACCTACAACACAACACATCACACACCTAACACACCAGTACACACACGCCTACACACACTCTACACTACACGACACACACCACCTACACATCACGACACAACACCTACACTACCACTACACCTTACACCAGAGTCACACACACACGTCCACACACACACAACATACACAGCACACACACAGCCACTGACACACACACATCACACATCACACACACACAGTGTCATCACGACAGCCGCACACACACAGCGTCGCACACATACACACACACAACAACAGCACAACACACATATAAACACCACATATGATATCTGAACGGTAGTTACATTACACATACGTTAGTTACATCAGAACATGTAACCATGCAACATAGCTGACTTGAGAGAAGAGAAAAGAATGGGGGGAACTAAAGGGAGAGGACAGCAGAAGAAGAACAGAAGAAGAGAAGAACTAGGAAAGAGAAGAAGGTTAGGAGAGAAGAAAAGAGAAGAGATAGAGAGGAGAAAGAGAGAGGATAGAGAGAGAAGAGGTGAGAAGGAGAGGAGAGAGAAAGGAGAAGACGAGGAGGAGACGAGAAAGGAGAAGGGGCAAGGCGAGTATTAAATAGCCATGGAAACTTTCTCCGTACCTCTTCTGGTACACGCTATATAATCAACTGTCTCGCGATTTAAACTTTATCCAGATTCTATTTTCAATTTTTTCATGGTTGTACATATTATCCACAACCTTAAGTCTGATTGTGACATGTCTGTTGATTATTTGCTTCAGGACTAATAGTCATTATATTTGAAAGGTAATGGGATTTTTAAAATTAAGTGTGTTATATCTACTTCCTCTGGCTGAGGCCTCTGTTTAGATATGAAGTTTGTTGGCAAGTAACTATTCATTGCAAGACTGAAATCTTTCACAGAGGAAGACATTTTACTTACCTTTTAACAACTAATATAAATCCTATTCTTACAGGATGACAACAAAAAGGCCTGATGAATATTATTTCAAAAGCAAATAATGAGATCAACCCCTTTTTATAGAAAGGAAATATAAATAGAATTATTGACTGAGATTTTAGAATACACTGACACACTTTAATGCTACTCTGTAGCATTAAAGTGTGTCAGTGTATTCTAAAATCAAAAATGTTGTTTCTAGATTAGAAATAAGAGAGAATATTGTAACACTTCTTATCCAGCCCGCATCTTCACACAAAATTTTTCATGATGCAAATTAACGAGGAAAATACAACACTTGTTGTATGTTTGGACAAAACATGACAAAACATTAAAAAATGTCTGAAGTATTCCTAATTTTAAGTTCAAATTTAAGTGATTTGAGTCAAAATGATTAAATATAATAAGCACCCCCCCACAAAAAAATTCTGGTCCTGTGTGCATTGAAGTATTATACTTTGCCATCCTTTTTGGGTTTATATAACTGCATTTTAGGTTAACAGAAAAAAATAAATAATGAAAGAAAAAAAGTCCTGTAAGCTTTATTGCAGCCACAGGTATCACAATTCATTAAATAATCTTCATTAACAATTACCAAGAACTGGCACTTAATGTGTAAATTAATACTGTGGTCATGCACTGATGTCTATTGTCAACTTCAAGGTGAAGACCAGCAAAATAAATGATTTGAAAAGCATCTGTTTTCAAATTCAATATCCATGTCCAACTGTTTACACTACACTGCCTGATACAACCCTCTCAGGAGACAGTAATGTGATACACATAATACAAAATGGTGCTTCTAATAATAACTTTGCAGCCATTTACAGTGTCTGTGGCTATTAAATATTTTTGAGATACTGTAGTTCATTTACCTATGAAAATGTTATCAAATAACTTTGGAGAAAAAGAGAATGACACCTATAGTCTTCATAACTTGTTTCCTAAATATATCTTTAGTACTATGGTGCAAGAGGGCAATACATAAAGCATCTATAATACAGATAATTCATGAATGTGTTCTGTCATGGAGTGCAATGATATTGACACTTAGATTTCTACTATGCTGTACATATGATAAGTGTATTATTAATAATCACATAATGAAAAGAATGATAGTAACCCTTATTGTACCTAAAATGAAGGTTGCCCATAAGAAAGAGCTTTTTAATGTTGGACCCTTTGCTAGGTATTAGTCTTGAATTTACTAATATAATACATTCACTATGAAGTAAAAGTTCTATTTAAATGTGTTAAATGAAACTGCTATCTATGAGGAATCATTATGAGAGACATAGGAGTCTAAAAAAATAGATATGTGATTAAATTATATATAAAAAATTACCCTTTTTTCCAATGTGTTGTTGAAAAAAAGTAGGTATTACTAAATGGCCTCCTGAAAGGGTTGAAGATAAATGATTCACATAAAAAGCTCTAATCATTTGTGGATACCACAAGCCATCCTATAACTGCAAAACAAATAAATTAGTTCCAGAGATCACAGCCAAACAAAGCAGTGATGATACAGTAATATAAAATATAAACATCCAAACATCTACTGTAACATTATAGAAATTTATGAAAAAATTATACATTCAAACTTTAAAGAAACCTGAACAATATATCTGAAAGTTACTGGAAGATACTAATAATCCTTTACAGGTTAGATGGGCATATCACAAAGTATTTAACATCTAAAATTTGTGTAACATCAACTGTCCCAACATTTATGCCCTATATATAAATATATGCCATGTTGTCTTCATATCAAATATACAACAAAGAGTTAATTCGGGTATAATCATCATCACAACAATCAAGAATACGAGCTTTATTTGAAAGCTCCTGTCAGGAAATACAAATACCTTAATAGAAAAGCAAATCAAGATTATTTATTAATGACTGTAAATATGAAAGTAATATAACGAACTCCTAGTGATCATTGGCCAAAAACCAGGCCTCTTGCCACAGCTTCTTAAGTTTCTGTGTCTTACATGACAAGGAAGTCTATCTCTAATGGCTGGAGAACTATATTTGAAAACTTCCTCGTCAGTGTATATATCAGTTGTTATATGGCTAATTATGATGGTGTATACTTTCAGTGTAAAGCTACAATGATCATGTTGTTTTCCGTTGCAACTGGAGATAACAATATCTAACAAATGAATATGTCAATTATTGGAATAGATTTTTTTTCCTCTTTTTTTTAAATGTGTAGAATGATTTGTTGAATGTTGTGGCGCACACGGCCACCTTCTCTTATACTGGTGTTGTTGATATTCAAATAGCTGTCTAGCATACAATGTCTGCAAAATCCACTAAAAATATGACATAATGTAGCAACAAAATAAATGAACAAAAATAATGTTTTTATGCCTAAAATAGATATTTCTAAAATAGAAGAAGAAAAAACAAGTAAATAAATAAAGCTGTTAACAGGAAAGCTGTCTTCCTATTAACATTCTAATACTGAAACTAGTTACAAAATGAGTGAAATTGTAAATCAGTCACAAATGGTAAAAAAAATAAATAGATTAATTAATGGACTACTAAGTTATCATGAACAGCCTTATTATTAGTTTTTGAACCAACACTGGTATAGTTTTACACTCATGGAGGACGAGTGATTATAGTTTGTATTCATGCGATACAAAATGCATACTGAAGTTCTATGAGCTGAACAAAGTAAACTTATTTGGTAAATGATATCTCACTTCTGTCTTATGATGGCAAGTTTTCATACTGTACAAACTGTTCAAATACTAAAAATAAAGTTCTACATTTTTGCCTATCTGAAGAAAATATGTATAACTAAAGAAAAATGTAATTGAAAATGGCTTTTGTTTCATAGCATGAATAACAAAAATTCTTGTCTTGTACTTCACTTTCCAGAGATAATGTTTTACACCTAAATATGGAAGAGGTTCCTCAATGAAATAACACTGCTAGCACTCTAAAGATGTATAACTGATGAAATGCAAAAATGGCTTAATATCTGCAACAGTATTCTAAAATCAATTCTGAGGGTAAGTGATGTATAAAAGAAGGCTGCTTAGAAATCAGTCACTCTTTAAAACTTTATGCAGAATATAATTTCATATATATCAAGACTATCTGAGCTCCTTTGAACTTAGACCATTAACTATTTACATGTACAAAATGAGAACCTCAGATCAGAGCATGATAACAGCCAGGTTTTTAAAAAATGTTATACTTTTCAATCTATAAAGTTCTGCATCCATGAAATTTTGGTCCATCTCAAACTATAGGGTGAATAAACATTTGTACCAGTCTCCAATTTCCAGACAATAATAATAATAAACAAAAATAAAAATAACTACCAATTCATAACAAGTCCCCGGTGTCAGTGGAACCTCGGTATCTTAAGGAATCACAGGACAAGAAGGGAGGTCTCTTAGCCTTTCTCACTTCTTCGGGAAGTATTTCTACATCCATATTTTTTGAAGGACTGGTCTTTGAGTTCTCTTCTAAGGCCTGAATTCTTTCTGTGTGATCTTCGGGTATTGGAGCCACACCAGCTACTGAAGACACACAAGGTGTTTGAGGCTGAGACGAAGGCTGTTGTTCCAAGGAGCTGTCAACAACGTCTGAGCTGTCTGCAGAGACAATGCTCTCTAGGGAATGCTGAAGCCAGTACTGACGTGTCACATCACTCGTGTAGGGTCCTTCATTGATCCCTACACTAGACAGATTAACCATACTATTGGCCATAAGACCCTTCTTAGACTCTCCCAGAAAATCCAGGGAACCACTTCTTGGCGGACCTGTTGATGATGGTGATGAGCCCATGGAAGCAGATACCGGTGTTGTCATTTCAGGTGTTGGGGTGAGGGACTTGGGCGTGAGTTTGTCTCTCACTGTTGACAGGGGAGGTGGAAGGCTCCATCCTCTGATAGGGCTAGTAGCAGCTTCCACTTTCTGAGGCTCCTCTTTGTTCTGGTTGACTTTTGCACCACTGATGCAAGTGTCGCTTTCCTTTTTCTTATCAGTAGTCTCAGTTGTGGATGTACTTCCTGACGATCGTTTCTCAGCACTTTCTATGAGCTGACAAGCTTTTCCCAGAATAATTACACCATTGAGAACCCTGCAGAAAGATAGAGAACATGTCATAGACAGTTTATAGCAACAAATATTTATCACTTTCCATCTATCCAATACCAAAATGTAAAATACAAAGGAATATTATATCATACAGTCCATAAATTCATATCCAAGAATTACCTGAATGATAAGAGGCATAAAAATCCAAGGAGCAGGATAAGATAGGATGCAGGGTTGCTGAGGCGTATAGACTGGCTTAGGATCCTGTACATCACAACTCCGAGTGGGAGAGGAATGAAACCCATCCTACGAGCCACGAGGTCGCTGTGGTCAGAATATGCCTGCAATAGTTTCATTGAAAGATGTGTCAGTTAAGAAAAACTGGCAAGAATTATTGCTGAAGAGTGAAAAAAGACCAGGGAAGAGAATATTAACCTATTGCTGCTGGGTAAATGCAATGTTGACTTCAGTTTTTTTTTTGTGATGTCTCTAATAAAGATGGCTCTACAAGTGCTCAGCTACCAAGGAATCAATTAGTAGATCTTGTTATATCATTGATGCTATTATTATTATTATAGACATTACAATTATCATAATGTCATTAACATTGCTAATAGCAGTATAAGAGAATATTTCCAAAACTCAAGGAAAGGGTAAATGGCAAGATAGATAATACTAGTAATTGACTCCTTTGTGACTGAGTACTTTGTGGAGCCTTCTATTGTAAAAACAATTGATAAACTAAACCCACAGTGGATGGGCATGGTATGTATGTACATGCCATCCCTGGTGTCATCTGGATAATACTGGAAGAAGAAGAAGAAGAAGAAGAAGAAGAAGAAGAAGAAAAGAAGAAGAAGAAGAAGAAAGAAGAAGAAGAAGAAGAGAAGAAGAAGAAGAAAGAAGAAGAAAAAAGAAGAAAGAAGAAGAAGAAGAAGAAGAATTATGTGGTATCTTCACAATATCAATTATATGTTGAAAGGATACTGATTTTGCTGTTACCACATTTCTTCATTTTTTTGGCATTACATAAAGCATGATTAAAAAGTTACATTTGTATTTAGAACTTACAAAGTCTATTGAGCTAGGTATGTTACTAAGATTTTATAAATGAAAACTTTCAAGTTCAAAACAACAAGATACATGCAATTAAAGGTGCATTGTGGACTATATCATACAATTAACCACCTCATATACCATATTAATTATCAAAGAAAATCTCCATTATATCTAGACTTTTCTGATCAAACCCGGAAAATATCATGAGATCATAAAAATTACAATTAATTTACTATGGTTCAACCAACTATTCAATATATGGGGTTAATACTAAGGAGTGTGCATTGCTGCATTCCTCGTATTTTTCCAGCTCTTGGAGAGCTTCAATCATAATTAAATTACAAATATGAATATCTTACCACAAGAAACATTGTACATTGTATATCCTTACAGAAACATAATACCACAAAAACGTACATATTTCTGTTTGCACATGATGAGATCCGAAGCCAGAAGAACTGTGTAATCCTTGTAGGCATCTGCAGCAATGTCATTGAACCTAGTGATGAACGCATGCTTCAGCCAGTCCACCAGTACTTCTGTGCCGCACACGAGTAAGCAATCAGGCAGCAGAATCCAAAAGCGGTCTGGAATTACAGTGATGAAATGAGAAAATAGTAGGTGGAATACTGGTTTACTTCAAAATAATTTATAATTCTTTCACAAACAGTCATATAATTATGGTTCGAAAAAAAATTAAAAAAAAGAAAGAAAGAAAGAAAAAAGACTTAAAACAACAAGATTACACACAGAATTATACATTTAATGATGCTACTACATCTGCTGAAGGCACTCTAACCGAATCTAAAATATGTATGACCTAGAAATCTATCCCTAATTCTTATTACCTCTCCCGTATACGAAATATTACACTTGACTTCAACCAGAATGTTATCCATGTTTAACAAATCTTAATATCCTTTCAAAAGTGCTAAATCTTTGAAAATCCTTTCAACTTTTAAAAGACCAATTTTTAACAATGTCATACTGAAGAAATCATATTGTGCCTGGGAGTTTGAGCTTCTCTGATATTGCCAGTGATTCAGATCCTAACTATTCCTTGCACATTGGGGGAGGCTGAGGTAGAGTCTGTGTCACTTGACTTCTGCCCACCTTTTACAGGATAGTGAAAATAAACCTTATAGTTATGGATGAGAGGTGTGAGTGCATTGTGGCCTTTGGTTTGTGGTTTAGAATATGGCTGATACACACGCATGCACGTATGCATGCACGCACATACGCATGCATGCATGTACGCACGTACACACGCATGCATGCACGCACGCACGCACACACACACACATGCATGCACGCACGCACACACTCTCTCTCTCTCTATATATATATATTGGTGTAGCTACAATATAAAAAATAATTGAATTAAGGTAATTGCTAAGTAATGTTCAAGCAGAATAGTGTTCCTACAATACCTTCTTCAATATAAGCCATATTTTTTGAGTAGAGAAGAAAAAAGACTTTATCCCAATTTTGAAAATTCATAAAATCTTGGGCACTAAGAATGGTCCCTTCCATCAATATTATGAGCATTTCAGTAATCACAATCATGAATTAAAATGAAAAATGTTAAAGGATTAAAGCTTACTGTAGACCACTGACTTTTTACAATAAAATACTTGACATTGTAAATCAAATGAGCTGTCACTTGTGGTAACTGCAACACACAATATCATAATTACTATTGAACAAAGATGAAATCATTAGCTTAAAATACATGTTTTAATGGAACACACATCATTAAGCAGAATAATATCTAATCAAACAGATTTTGATTTCCAAAACTTAAAAAAAAAGTCTGTAAGATAGATGCATTTGCATGAACATTTCATGCTTATACAATGAGTAAAAAATATTTTTTACAGCAGTGATCATATTTATACTTAACAGCAATTGTAAATATGTCCTCGTATAAACTATTTTTCTCCAATACTAATGGAAATGAACAAATGAATGAATCAATCAACCAGTAACCACACAATATACCAAATGAAAAGGAAACTAAAAGGAAATAATAATTACAACACAAAGGCTAACTCCTTTCTTAGAGAGCAAAATCAAACTGGAAAGAAAACGTACCTTCCTTCCATGCGTACTCCTTCATGGTTTGGATTACAACCACCAAGAGGAGAACGCAGATGTGGAATCTCTCTCGCACGTCGCTGCATGATATTTGTAGAAGGTTGTTTCTGTCAAACTTCTTGAACACAGCTCCTTTCAGCTCTACAAACTGAAAGATTGGATGAAGGATTCATTGTGATGATTTTATATCAGTTGAATGACTTGCATTTCTTTTTATTGGGACAAAAATACAGTTTAGAGGTTGGTATTAACTGGATGAAGACAACCTGTAGGAAAAACTTTGCTTCATTTGAAAGAATCATCCTCAGCAACCTGTTAATTATAAAATTATCAACATCAACCTGTCATTACTGATAACCAATGTGTCAACTGCATCTTTGCTTCTATTCTGCACTATTCCTAATAAACATTTTTATGTACTGTTCCTTAAAGGGTCAACCTGACCCTTGCTTTCCCCGTCACTGTGATGGTTGTGTACTCTCCATCCTTCCTCTTTTGTGAAGTGATAGTCAGAGTTAACAAAGCAAGTGGCCCAAAATCTGAGCATTATATTTACTTGTGGCAATTCTTCCTGGTGTGTGGCTTGTAGGCCCATCCCACATCAACACTGGTATCAAGACTCCTTGCTGCCATTTTGCAATGTCATGATCTCTTTTTCTGCATAAGCATTTTTTGCCTTTTTGCCATTTTCCAAGTTATATACTTGTCATTTGATATGCCAGATCATAATGGTGATAGAGAGCTTTCCCTGAACAGACTCATTATTGTCTCTTAATGTAGTATACTTCTCTATGCTACAACTATAAATAACATTTAGTTATTTGTCACTGTTTAATATTTTCATATTAACAAATTTTATGTAACAATCAATCAATCTAGAATAGAATCATAGGCATGAAAAGCATGGAAATGGTTTACTTCTTGGAGCTGGTGTTATTCCAGTCATGGCTCATGAATGGTACATTCCACCCTTGTTTACCATTGGAAATAATGCAAGAGCCCCTTCCTAAATACTCAATGAGTCTAATCTTCCTTTAAGAACTTTGTGCACTCACAGTAAGTCTTTCCTTTCATCCCAGCATTCAGCTGAATTTTTTATAACAGCATATTGTATGATATCAGCCTGGTTATCAACCAAAATTTCCCATAACAATAGATTCCTGTCACCCGCTCTCAGCCAATTTTTTTATGACGCGACTGTTATGTAAACCAGATCCAATCAGTCAATAATTCATATCTTTCTTAACATTTGCAAAACTGGAACCAGATAGCAACTCAAAATCATGATTTCATATTACGGTATATTAGTGTTATCCAAACCCTAAAGTAGCAATGATTGCATTTGCTTTCCAAAAATCAGTTTATTACAAAAAATTATCAAAATGTAAAATGTAAATGCTGTTAATGATACCATAATCATAACAACTACATAATATCAATTTCATATATTTTGACATGCATACATGCATGCAAGCTTATTATCTTATTTCAGGGCTTAAAAAACAAAACAAAAAAATAATAAAATTGTTTGATAGCAATTCTGAAAGAAGCTGTTAACAGATACTTACGTTGTTTGAGATAACTATAGTCAACAAGCCTTTATTGTCCGAATTGATAGCAACATTGAGTGTCAGAGCTTGTAGCAGGACAATGGTTGAATGCAAAGCAACATAAGCTGTTGCAACAATCAAGTGGAACAGAACCCCAAAGTGTTCTCGCTTCTTGCCTCGGGGTTCTGTCGCTGTCCAGAAGAGAGCATCGAGGGTGTCTTGGCCAAAGGCTGACATGAGTCTGTGTGAAAGTGGAAAGTATGTTTAGCCAACTTTACTTTTTAATTGTAATAATTCTGTATTTTTTTGCACATAGTAAAGGTGTTGAAGGAAGATGTGGAAGTGGAGGGGGTCGAGGTAGAGATGGAGGTGGCAGAGGCGGAGAAGATAAGAGATGGCATTGGTTGAGGTGGTAGTGATGTAAATGATGAGGCTTGAGGTGGAGGAGGAGGAGGTGAAGGAAACGGCGGAAGAGAAAAAGAAGAAAAGGACTGAAAAACACATAGAAAGAGAGAAATAAAATAGAAAAAGCATCTACCTCTCTAGTTAGGCACTCACCTGTCAGCTATCTCTAGCATGTTGAAGAACAGGTACAGTTTGATGGTGGACTGTGTCTTGATGATATGGTAACACACAGAGGAGTCAATATATCCCATCAGGTAACAGCAGACGAGCACCATCACACCCTTCAGCAGGTCCACAATCTCTGCTGGCTTCAGGATGCGACGATTCTTGTTGAAGTACAGCCTGGGGAGGAAAATGGGTCATTTTGAAGCCTGAGTTGAACAACGTGTGCTGAGATTTTGTGGATTTTAGTTTTTTGTGTGGTATGAATTGAATAATGATTATTACGACTGGACTTAATTTTATGGTCAAGCAAAAATTAATCATCTATGTGTAAGCCACTGCAATTGTACAGATCTAAAAAGTTTTACCTAAAATCAATGTTGCCTTGATTGATAGCTTAAAATTTAAAAAATTATAAAAAAAAAAGGTCAAGTATAAATTCATATAATAGCACAGTGAAAAAAAAAGGAAATGAAGAGCAAAAAATGGAAAGAAAGAAAGGAAGAAAGCAAAGAAGAAAAGAAAAAAAGAGGTAGGATCAGGAGGAGGAGGATGATATGGAAGATTACTAAGAAAACTCTTACCCAAACAACTTCCTGAATGGTCGGGTCAAGAGGCCAAAAAGGGCCAAGGAGAATCTAATGGGTAAGAAGGTGAACACGAAGAAGAAGGAGTCGGCACACTGAAAGAATCCGTATGCAACGAACTTCTCAAGCTGTGAAGTGGAGATGTGAAAATTAATTAACATATATTTACCATACATGACTTCATAAAATTGTATGATTTGTATGAAAAAAGCTGAGTCTCCAATAACTTAATACTACAACTACTAGTACTACCACTATCATCATAATGTTGAAAATTTCTTTTATCTATTCATTCATTGATATTTTCTTATGAAATACTAGTTGACAT